TTGTTCTCATTGATACATTTTGCTTTTTTCCCAACAATTCTATAGCGCGAAAGTATGCGTCTCAATGTATTAGATGACATATTAACCTTAAACAATATATAAAGTTAGAATATAAGAAGTGTACTACAAAGAAAGTTGACATATTTATTTACTGCAATGTACATGTACATCTAGATTATAATGAAGAAAATTCAGGGATGCATCATGAGGGCTGATCATAGTACACATCAGCTCCATATGTAATACCACATTTACAGTATGCGTTACTAATTTCTTCTCTCAATGATGAATGAAATGTCTGTGATAGTAGTGATGGAAGGTGTGTTTCTGTTAATGGATGTTGATTTCGAATTGATTCTTTAAACGAATACCAAAGTGGATTATCTAATGGAGATAAATACTTTGCGGATGCTGTTGGCGTATAATGAACTTTTACAACTGATTTACATTTATCAGCCTGTAATGTTTGCATTATACAGTTTTCATTATGAGTTCGACTCTTATCACATATTAAAGGCAAGACGTTGCAAATACTATGCGCATAAAGGCGTATGCGTTGTATTGTGGTGTAAAGGACGGGGGCGATTATTTGATGGAATCGGCCCCTGCTTGAATTCCATCGACATTCGATGCAGAATGAACAGGAGAACATTTCTAGACACCCCACAGACCTTAGAATTGCTCCCAAAAAAAACTAGGTCGAATTTACTGTAATCAAAGTTCTACTCTTCTTTGTTCAACGATGACGATCCTGTGCTTCACATTTGTCCATTAGCCACGACGATACATATACCATTCGATAGAGAATTTCTCGCGTTACAATTTCATATATACAAAGTAGTGAGAAAAGTGTCCTAGAGCATCTTGACATCAGAGATACTTTATGCAAAGACGTAGCAAGTGGGTGATTTATTCAACGATGATGATCCTGTGCTCCACACTTGTCTACTAACCACGACGATACATATACCATTCGATAGAGAATTTCTCGCACTACAAGTTCATATATATATGATAGTGAAAAAAGTGTCCTGGGACTCCTTGACATTTTAGAAATACTGTCTGGAAAGCCGGGAAAAGTGGGTGGCTTATTTCACGGTCACGATCCTGTGCTCCACAGTTGTCCACTAACCACGACGATACATATACCATTCGATAGCGAATTTCCCGCGCTACAATTTCATATATACAAAGTAGTGCGAAAACTGTCCTAGGGCATCTTGACATTAGAAATACTGTCTGGAAAGTCGTGAAAAGTAGGTGATTTATTGAACGATGACGATCCTCTGCTCCACACCTGTCCACTAACTAACTCTATCAGAATTCCAATTGTCCCATTAAAAGTAAAGATTTCTCACGTAAAGTTCGTTCTGGCACGATTCGACGCAGCTCGTCAAACTCTATTTATATTATGAAAACGAAGACTTTCAGTTTAAGACTTGACCTTCCAGAAAGATTTTTCAGCGAGTAACGCTGTGACAGAAAAGGTCCCTATTTTTTGAGAACTTTTGATTGAGAACCTTCGAATTGAATTGTGCCTCTGAAAAGATTCTGGAAGGAAGTTGGTAGAGGAGCTAACGGACTTTCTTTTGGTAGAAAAAAGATTTTTCGAAACCCTCCCGCACGCCTAGGAAAGTCGATTTTGTAAAGGAACGCTGGAACATTTTTGGTATTGTGACACACTTTTTTGTCGCACCATTTTTAGGCACTAAACGTTCTTCAAAAAACTTCATACTTATAGTTTGTGTAGTTGTAGGTTTCCTGAAAAGAGTCCAGTGTAGAATCAATTTGTTCTAATTGAGTTCTGATGAAGAAAACAGTGAATTACGAGCAGAATTTTAACTTTTTCCCTCCTAATTTAGAAAAAATGTGTTTTCTCAGTAGGAACGTAAAATGGAGAAAAAGTCGATGCATACTCTTAAAGCTCGTACAATAGCAGTTCTAATGAAGTAAAAAGGTCGGTTTCATCTCTTCACAAAGAAACTAGACAGATCTACAAAAGATACTATTTTTAACGATCTGATCACCGAAGCCACGCTCAGTCGAATTTTGAGTTTGAAGTCAAGTAAATATTCAGATTTTAATGTTGAATCTGGAAAATATAGCCTGAAAGGTAGAAAAATGAAAAGACGGCGGACGATAAGACCGAAATCGGCCCCCTCTCAAATAAGTCGTATGTTGTCTCATCTGATGTAGTACTCCAGCTGTAACCCCAACATATTTTTAGACCTCAGAAATCTCTTTCGGCGCCGGAAGCGTTTTACCAAAAAAACATCTTCTCTCGATAGCTAAGCTTTATTAAAAGTATTTCAGTATTCTACTCCTTTCCTCTAGAGCAAATATCAAGTATTATATACCGCTTGATAGAGAATTTCAAGGGCTTCAAAATGAGCTGTAAATAAGTCTTTCAAAAATATGTCCACATGGGCCAATAGCCGAAAATACTTGTCCGATATAATGATTTTGACCTATATTAGTGCTTTAAACACTCTTTCAGTCTTTTTTCTGCCATAATGAAAACTTATCTATTTCACAAAAACATACCATTGAATAGTCCTTGAAATTCTCTTCAAAGTGAGCTGGTCAGAATATCGAAACAGATATTCTGTCATTATGATATGGAAAAGATTTACGAAGGGCGAGAAAGGGTGCGAAACCTTCTAAAACATTCCAGTGAAAACGCATGATAGACATCCACGAGAGGTCTTATTTTACTTTCAAATTCTGAGTAAAATAAGACCTCTCGTGGGTGTCTATCATGCTTTTTCACCAGAATGTTTCCTTTTTCGGAACAAAGGAGTTCTTGTAATTATGACATACTGTACTGCATANACCCCAACGCTTATTTTCCATATCGTAATGACAGACCCGTCTGTTTCGATATTCTGACCAGCTCACTTTGAAGAGAATTTCAAGGACTATTCAATGGTATGTTTTTGTGAAATAGATAAGTTTTCATTATGGCAGAAAAAAGACTGAAAGAGTGTTTAAAGCACTAATATAGGTCAAAATCATTATATCGGACAAGTATTTTCGGCTATTGGCCCATGTGGACATATTTTTGAAAGACTTATTTACAGCTCATTTTGAAGCCCTTGAAATTCTCTATCAAGCGGTATATAATACTTGATATTTGCTCTAGAGGAAAGGAGTAGAATACTGAAATACTTTTAATAAAGCTTAGCTATCGAGAGAAGATGTTTTTTTGGTAAAACGCTTCCGGCGCCGAAAGAGATTTCTGAGGTCTAAAAATATGTTGGGGTTACAGCTGGAGTACTACATCAGATGAGACAACATACGACTTATTTGAGAGGGGGCCGATTTCGGTCTTATCGTCCGCCGTCTTTTCATTTTTCTACCTTTCAGGCTATATTTTCCAGATTCAACATTAAAATCTGAATATTTACTTGACTTCAAACTCAAAATTCGACTGAGCGTGGCTTCGGTGATCAGATCGTTAAAAATAGTATCTTTTGTAGATCTGTCTAGTTTCTTTGTGAAGAGATGAAACCGACCTTTTTACTTCATTAGAACTGCTATTGTACGAGCTTTAAGAGTATGCATCGACTTTTTCTCCATTTTACGTTCCTACTGAGAAAACACATTTTTTCTAAATTAGGAGGGAAAAAGTTAAAATTCTGCTCGTAATTCACTGTTTTCTTCATCAGAACTCAATTAGAACAAATTGATTCTACACTGGACTCTTTTCAGGAAACCTACAACTACACAAACTATAAGTATGAAGTTTTTTGAAGAACGTTTAGTGCCTAAAAATGGTGCGACAAAAAAGTGTGTCACAATACCAAAAATGTTCCAGCGTTCCTTTACAAAATCGACTTTCCTAGGCGTGCGGGAGGGTTTCGAAAAATCTTTTTTCTACCAAAAGAAAGTCCGTTAGCTCCTCTACCAACTTCCTTCCAGAATCTTTTCAGAGGCACAATTCAATTCGAAGGTTCTCAATCAAAAGTTCTCAAAAAATAGGGACCTTTTCTGTCACAGCGTTACTCGCTGAAAAATCTTTCTGGAAGGTCAAGTCTTAAACTGAAAGTCTTCGTTTTCATAATATAAATAGAGTTTGACGAGCTGCGTCGAATCGTGCCAGAACGAACTTTACGTGAGAAATCTTTACTTTTAATGGGACAATTGGAATTCTGATAGAGTTAGTTAGTGGACAGGTGTGGAGCAGAGGATCGTCATCGTTCAATAAATCACCTACTTTTCACGACTTTCCAGACAGTATTTCTAATGTCAAGATGCCCTAGGACAGTTTTCGCACTACTTTGTATATATGAAATTGTAGCGCGGGAAATTCGCTATCGAATGGTATATGTATCGTCGTGGTTAGTGGACAACTGTGGAGCACAGGATCGTGACCGTGAAATAAGCCACCCACTTTTCCCGGCTTTCCAGACAGTATTTCTAAAATGTCAAGGAGTCCCAGGACACTTTTTTCACTATCATATATATATGAACTTGTAGTGCGAGAAATTCTCTATCGAATGGTATATGTATCGTCGTGGTTAGTAGACAAGTGTGGAGCACAGGATCATCATCGTTGAATAAATCACCCACTTGCTACGTCTTTGCATAAAGTATCTCTGATGTCAAGATGCTCTAGGACACTTTTCTCACTACTTTGTATATATGAAATTGTAACGCGAGAAATTCTCTATCGAATGGTATATGTATCGTCGTGGCTAATGGACAAATGTGAAGCACAGGATCGTCATCGTTGAACAAAGAAGAGTAGAACTTTGATTACAGTAAATTCGACCTAGTTTTTTTTGGGAGCAATTCTAAGGTCTGTGGGGTGTCTAGAAATGTTCTCCTGTTCATTCTGCATCGAATGTCGATGGAATTCAAGCAGGGGCCGATTCCATCAAATAATCGCCCCCGTCCTTTACACCACAATACAACGCATACGCCTTTATGCGCATAGTATTTGCAACGTCTTGCCTTTAATATGTGATAAGAGTCGAACTCATAATGAAAACTGTATAATGCAAACATTACAGGCTGATAAATGTAAATCAGTTGTAAAAGTTCATTATACGCCAACAGCATCCGCAAAGTATTTATCTCCATTAGATAATCCACTTTGGTATTCGTTTAAAGAATCAATTCGAAATCAACATCCATTAACAGAAACACACCTTCCATCACTACTATCACAGACATTTCATTCATCATTGAGAGAAGAAATTAGTAACGCATACTGTAAATGTGGTATTACATATGGAGCTGATGTGTACTATGATCAGCCCTCATGATGCATCCCTGAATTTTCTTCATTATAATCTAGATGTACATGTACATTGCAGTAAATAAATATGTCAACTTTCTTTGTAGTACACTTCTTATATTCTAACTTTATATATTGTTTAAGGTTAATATGTCATCTAATACATTGAGACGCATACTTTCGCGCTATAGAATTGTTGGGAAAAAAGCAAAATGTATCAATGAGAACAAAAAAAACAAAGCGGGAAAATTCAATTGAGCCGAGCTGTATTTTGTTCGAAGTATAGTTTAAAATTATTTGATATCTTTGGTTTTGTTACTCAAGTAAAGAATTGTAAATGCAGTTTAATAAATAAAATTTATTTTGTGTTGTTTCATTCTTTTAGAACGACTTATTATTATATCGTAGTGATATTCAAAGCTGTTTTGAACGTATATCTTTGAATATCATCGTTGTCGTTGGATTTAAAAGTGTAATGTTTATCCATAATCTTAGTTGAAAAAGATATTTGAAGAGCTTATCTTTCTTTCCTTTATTTCTAGCGACAAAAATTATATAAGCAACTAATTGCTGAAAGCTCATCATCAGCATCGTCTACATCGTCAGTTGCTGAATAATTGTCGATGGATATAAAAATATAAATGAACAGTTTGCAGTTTGTTTGCCTGAATGAACTAATTATTTCTGCTGTTTTCTTCTAAGCAGTTCTTTTGTTAAATTATGTGATATTGTTAAAATTTTATATTTTGTTCATTAAATCTTGTGTATTCTTAATTGAGCGTGCATTATCAGCTATGGATTTTGTTAGATGTGTGATATATTTTGCTAATCTCCTACCTATTATTTCTCTCCTAGATACTATCAAGCTATTAGTGTATATAGAGGTGTAAATAAGATTCGAACATCTCGGGGTGTATGTAAAATAAAATTTCTCTCTGCGATAGCATGAAAAAGATGGAAGAAAATTTTGTTCGAGGAAGAACACAAAATAACAACAGCTTTTTCAATTATTTGGAGGATATGCAGTCTCTCGTTATTTGTGGTCTTGAGGATATGTCGAAAGTTCCGATAATCCGTTCATAGTTCAAATATTTTATTAAAATACAAGGAAGGATGATAACATACAGACCACGTGCACTCGTAGGTGTTAACTCAAGTGAAAATACGGATAGAATAATAATAATAATGCTATGTCATTAGTATTGATTTTAAAATCTGTTCATACTGCTTACCTGTTATTTAAATGTCGGAGACTTTATGTTTTTTTATTAGTGTAGGAGATTGGTCTTCTATTTTAAGTTATTTGGTGTTTTACAACGGATTTATACAGATTTATATTCTGGTAAAACTAGTATCTCTATGTGCTAGTTATAGTTGTTTTTTTCAGAAAAAATGTGTTGACTGTGTGCCTAACAATAACGTACTATGAATGTGTTTCACATTTTAGCTCCTACAAAGTCTGGCCTGTCAAGGTTTTCCGCATATTACTATTTAAGAAATTAAGATTTTAATTACAATCATATCATTTCTATGTTATGATGCGTTTTGAGACCCTCTCAGTATTTTGAGTTTTTCTCGATGAAAACTTTGTCGAATGATCGTCTACTCTATCAGAAACTACCTGATCAGTTCTGCACCTCTTATAAAAGATTGAAAAAAATTTTAACTAAGGTTGAAGACTCAAACGTGCTGATAATAAGGGTCAGAGACCCTGAGAAAAGATTGAATAAAAGATCTATAAAAAAAACTTTGTTTGAGAGAAACTTTTATGCCATGTTGATGGGCAGCACATGAGCTATCAAAATATGCGTAAAATTAAAAAATTCATTTTCCTAAGAAAAATCTATTTCTGAGGAGAGACGGGTTCGAAAAATATGCCAACAATGCTGACATCCAATAAAGCTGAAACTTTAGAATTATTTCTCCTTTGAATAGAGCTACATATTGCATAAGTTTTATCAAAATCTGAATACTTCATTGAGCACGTTCAATGCATACAATTGACGGTGGGAAGGGGTGATGTTCCCACTCCTGAAAATTTTCAACATCTGTTCGGTAAATTTTTGTTAATCTGAAAAAACCAATGTAAGACATCACGATATTAGAGGACATAGTGTTGTGAAGGACAGATCAATATTCTTGTCCTGTTCTTTTGAAACCCCGAGTAGCATAACTTTAGTCTACGTTAGTGCTTTAAACTAGATGTTTTTCCTTTTGAAAGTGAGTAAAGCATTTGAAAATCACATTAGAAAGTAATGCCTTCAGCGAATTATAACTATTAAATTATACATTCAGAAAAGTGATGATGAAATGATGGATGTCAACGCCAGTTGGCATCCATCATGTGGATGTACCAACGCTAGTTTGAAGAACAGACATTTTTAAACTCTTTATTCTCTCCTAGCAACAGAAATGGATGTCCAAATAAAATTAGGTACAAGGCTGGATAAAAATATTTTCGTAATCCCCGCGAAAAAGACTCTCTCCGTAGAAATTTCCCCTCTCCCTGTAAAAAAGCTAAGCGAAAAGTATGAGTACATTAGGTCGTACTTCTTTTCCAATGACTCATAGAACGAACTCATAGGTTTTAAATAATTTTCTTCTCTTTTTGACCAATAAACCATCCAACCTGAGGTGATATTGTTAAGGTTCTATCATCTTGTTGAACACCAGTAAAACCAGCAGCAAATATTAAATCATATGTTTGATTTGTATTCAAATCTATACAAACTACAGGTGCTTGGCTTAAACCAATAGGTAAAGATGATACCCTGGCACCATGACGACTTGGAAAACTGATTGCAGATTCAATATCAATATTGTCACTATTATTATTATCATCATTCATGCAAAATGTTTTTGATCGTTGAGGGTAAACATAATCTTGATTCATCGAATATGGTACACAAGCGTCATTTTCTATTATATCTGTATTACCAGAGAATAAATAAGGAAAAAATACATTAATCCATCCACAATAATGATCCCGTTCATAAACATCTCTAGCATCTTTATTTCTATCTCGCAATATACCAGACATAAAACCACCTCTTTTAATCATACTATTCCAAAATACACAATCAATTTTACAATTATAAACATTAATAAATTCATTTAAAACTGGTAGTAATGATAATTTCCATTTCTCACTAAATTTTCCATCTACTTTTGTGTTTAATAATTCTTCACATTTTTTATATAAATTAATCCAATCATCCTTAATACCATTTAATGTTATTGATGGAAAACCACAACCGATTATCATTCGATAACTAAAATAACATTGACATATATCCATGATACATAACTTAGTGGCAATATCATCGATATTATTACTTGTTGTAAAATCATTTTTTAATAACTTCACTGTATCTGGTATTGTATTTTTATCAATTTGTTCAATAAATTCATTGATCACACTGTTGTAATCATTTTTTTTAGAACCCTTGATAAAACCTTGTCTGATAACTTCTAATGATTTTTTACTTTTATGATAAACATATTTATCACGTAATTTTTCACTATTCTTATTAACATGAAATGCTATTCCTTGTAATATTAATAACCATAGATCACTTGGTTTAATAGAGATTGGATAATGTTGAAAAAATGCAATTTCGATAGCACGTATAAAACCATGATAATTATCTGATTTTTTTATAATATTGCAATTCCAATCATCGACACCTTCTAATTCACTAATATTTAATTTTTCTTTAAAATATTTTAATTGGTTTGAATCGATAAATAATTCCTTGTCTAGCTTTTTTGTTGCAATTTTATCATTTTTTAAAAATGGTGATGGATAAAATGTAATTGAATTATCATCATTTACATGATATTTGCATTTATGGTTATAAAGATCTTTGAATGGTTTAGGTAATGCTTCGAATAACATGTT